GCAACACTCTGATCTCTGATGGAGATGCACAAAGTTGTAATTATTTATTAATTCAATATATTGGAACAATCATTTCCTCTTCCATTGTGTTCTCAGCCAGCTTTCCAGTTCCCACCTTCCCATTCTCTTTACTGGACTGCATCCCTCATCCCACCACCTTTGTCTGCATCCTACCACAGCCATCTATCTTTCTTTGCTTGCTTCTCTCCCTCTCTTTCACATTTCAGCGGTACCCCAGGAGTCTCTTCCTCCACTCACCTTGCACCTGAGATGCTCACTATAGTCTGTAGTGTTGAAGACTTCCATCCATCCATAGCTGAAGCAACAATAATGAAGCCATGAGGTCAGCCCTTTGCTTCTAGAACAAAGCTACCTGTCTCCTTCAAGCAGCAGGACAAAAATACAGCTATAGACACCCCACATCCCAAGGTCGGTACATCAAAGATATTCCTAGGTGCAGTGCAAACTTGACATGGAGGCAAGGAAGTTGCTTCTCTCCAAGACAGAGGTAACGTTGAGAATGCAGTATCTTAGGATGAGAAGGGACTATAAGTTGCAGAAGTAATTTAAGTGAAATGAATAAAAGGACAGAGATTACATACATAATATAGTTTTTTTTTTTCGATTGAATTCTTATCTCTTTCTCTCATTACTTGGAGATATGCATTTGGAAATGAAGGAGGAAAAAAAAGCCTAAATGGAGAGGCACTTGGGTTGAGGTGAGAAACCTTTAGACCTTGAAACTCCAAATTAGTCCTTCTCTGAAGCTTCTCTTCCTTTTTTGGAAAACAAACAAATACAGAGCTGTTACTTCATTTTATGAATTTGTGGATATCTAGCAGTATCTAATTTCAGCCCCAGGATGTCCAGTTCTAAACCTTGAAGCAAGGGAAGAACATAGGGAACAACCATGAAGAGTTAACACAGTATGATATAGGGTTATCTATCCACTTTAGGATGATCCTGAATCAAAGCTGATTGTTTCAGAAAAAGAAATCAGGACTTATTTGAAGCACAGTAGAATGAGAACAAACTGGCCTTTACCAAAGCTTTAGACCTGCTTTAAAGCTTGGAAGGATGCAGAAACATTTCTTTTCTTCTGAGCTCTCCCTAAAAGGAAGATACTGTAGGTATACAATTGAACATGATAGCTGGCCAACAAGACATTGAAAATAGTGGCCACTGAAAAGATGCTCATATGCTATTGTTTAGAAGCCTCCAAGCCAAGGCAGAAGTGAGAGTTCCCCCTGCAACCTTCAGGGTCTCTCTGCTATCTGCTACCAACATTCAATATTTCTTTCAAATATTAGTGGACTGTGGTTGCTCCTTAAGAGTACAAACCTTTATTTTAATTTTATAATTATGTATATGACTTTTGGACTTTTTATTTGTTGTTATTTTTTAAAGGAAGTTCATAATTTCCAGGCTTTGAAGACCTGGTTCTGCCACCTGGCCTGGGGTGGGGAGGGAATACCTCAAGCATGGGGATGGCTAGCCCCATAGAGGCCTTCTGTC